TTCACATCAAACCTCAGTTCCTACTCAGTCCAAAAACTATTTCCAGTTGTTCTCCTTTTAACCCTTCCAATTTCCTGTAATAGATGAATGAGGTGAGGCGAGGCGAGGCGAGGCGAGGCAGCAGTGATCAGAGATAGTCATGCTAGGGCTGGTCAGATCCCAGGATTACTCTACCTCATTTCCTTGAATTTATTGTTCAAATAACAGCAAATCTGTTCCAGCAAATATATTCTGGAACGTACATTGAGATGACTGATAAACAATCATATATTTTATCAAATTATAATGCATTTTGGCTGTTAATTTGTGCAAATGAGCCAAGAAAATATGGAGGTCTCTGCTGTGTCTTCAAACTGTTCTTTTTAAGATACCACAAAAGTTTCTTGTGCTGCAAACCGTGATTTTGTTAAAATGGGAGAGAGGGGAAGTCTAGGACCTCCTTTTTTCCCTGAAATTCAAGCACTGTTTTATCGTCTACCATAGACTAACACAGGCCATGATGTGAGAATTCAGCCCAAAGCCTCTGTTCCCATTCACAAGGGGTTGTAGCGGCAGCTGAAAACTTGTAAGGCCTCTCCCAATGTAGGGTCTTGGGCAAAGTTCAGCAGCTGATAAGGATAGGACGTAAGGCTATGCTAGGGTAAGTCAGATGCTAGGGTAAGCCCTTTTCCAGTTGCATTTGAAATGGCTTTTCTCCCCCTTCTTTTCCAGTCATATTCCTGTCTTCATGGTTACAGTATTTATATATTTTCTTCCAATGTCAGATCATTGATGTCGGTCACATTCTCAGGAATGTGGAAGTTGGCTTTTTGCAGAACTCTCTCAGTGAGCCCCATGCCACAGTGAGAGCCATTTGCATTCCCCAGGGAGCGGTGAGTGAAGCTGTTTGGTAAGGGGAAATGTCCTTTATCTCAGATGCTGTCATTTATCAAGTTGCTATTTCTATGATGAGTCCTACGAATATGTTCTTTCTTTTACTTGCATACAAGTAGATGATTGAAAAAGCAAGCTTTTCTCTTTTCAGGAGAAATCTCTTTGGTTTCAGTAAGATTTAGTTCTTAAAAATAAGAATATATTAAACTAATGTATTGATTTATATTGTGAAGTTAAAATAATACTGAATAAAATAAAGTGAGTTTACAGAGAGTTAGCAGAATCAGTGTACAGTTATGTGTATGGGAATAATGGTGCTGTGTGAGATAGATGTTCTTGTAGAAAGAAGTAATGAAAGCAAAAAATCTTCAGTTTTGCATCTGGATTGAAATAATGGAGATAGTTTTGCAAAATATAGAAGCCAGCCCAGATTTCTGGTGTAAAAAGGGAATGTGAGGAGAAACCCAGGAGAAGCTGCATCTTTTTTTTCCCCCAATGGATGTTTTTTCTTTCCCACTTCTTCCACACAATCCCATTCCTGAAGTACAAACTAGGAATCTGGAAACTCATAGAATTGTATATAGTTGTGTCCATCCACCAATGGAATGAACATTACTGGCAGTCAGATCAGATTCTCTCTTCTCTGAATACTGGGAAGGGTGCAGGGTTATCTCTGAGAATACCTACAGATATACACACAAAAGTACCAATAGAAGAAAATATACGTAGCTCAGGGTTGAACTGTGGAGTCCTTGGGGCTCTCTGAGTTTGGTTGTTTTCTCTCAGAGCAAACCCCACTCCCTTCTAGCACTGGAGATATTACCTAGCCGGGTAATGAAACGTCTGCAAGAAAACAACCAAGCTCAGAGAACCCTGAGGACTTCACCCAGAAAAGTGAGTGCTAGCATATTTCCAAATTTTGTTCTACAGTCACAAACACTAAAAAGTAAAAGGGGTACATTTATTGAAAGTGTATGCCAGTTATGATTTGGCAGCAACATTTGGAGGAGTCTTTCAAGTTCAGCCTTTCATCCTTGATTTATTAAGAATGCTTACATTCTGTGTACTTGTCATTATATGCATAGTTCTCTCAATATGAAATCATTTACAACAACCTGTGAAGTAGATTAAAACTGAGAAATAGTGATTAAATGAGGATCACTCAGTGAAACATAGGGTTGAATTTAGATCTCCATAATTCAAATCCACTTCTATTCACTATTGCCCTGCACATTTATTTGCAAGGCAGACAACTACTTGTGAAAAACACACATTTTTCCAGGCTCCTGACTGAAGCACCAGCTGGCAAAGAAAATATTTCTTGGTTGTAACTATTTTTGCCATACCTGGTTAAATTTAAATAAATAAAGAAATATTTACTTTGCCAGCTGGTGCTTCAGTCAGGAGCCTGGAAAAATGTGTGTTTTCCTTACTGTGGCATTTAATGTCAATCCCATACTTGTAATTATACAGGCACTGATATAATGATTAAAAGTTTACAAGATTAGGGTGAATCAAAATTATTTCCTTTGTATCTCATATTGATAGCTAGTTAGCAAGAATAAAATCTGAACATCACTGTTTTATCTATGTTTATTAGTATAGTCTTAGTACCAGTTTAGAGATTGTCTTTAATTGCATTGTTAAGAATGATAGTAAAAAAGAAATCAACTTTTAATTGCCAGAAAATATTTTATTTTGTTATGTTTATTTTCCTTGGATTTTTAAAACTTTTTCATGTTTTGTGATTCCATGAGTTCCACTGTATATATCACTGTTGTGATTAATTCCTTTTTGTTGTACATCATTTCTCTGTAGAACTGAAAATATAACCTGAAAACATTTCTTAAAGTAAGCCTGATTCTGAAACAAAAGCTTTAATGTAAAAAATAATAGGCAAAAAGCATAGTGGTATCAATTAAAATATAACAAACAATACATTTATTAGTGTTTCTCTATATACCTTTTTCTCTAGAAATACCTTCAGAATAAAGATTTGGAGTCCTTCAATGAATTGGCAACATCCCAATTTAACCAGGTATGGCAAAAATAGTTACAACCAAGAAATATTTTCTTTCAGGAATTTCTCCTGGGCTGTGTAAAATTTAAATTGCATATTTCATATCAGTTGAGGAGGCTGGAAGGGGGAGAATGTCTAGTGTCTTTTACATTAGGTCACTTTAATTTGGAAAAAAAAAAAAAAGGAGAAAGCTGACCACTATAAGAAATAAGATTTTGGTCAAGATAGATTTTTGGTTGGATCCAATAAGGTTTGTTTAAATTCCCTCTTAGGTTGTACAAACAAACATCATTCATACCAAACTAGGAATGAGAGAGCTTAAATCTTTCTGAAAGTATACTCCTTAGCAACAAAAGCAAGCAGCTGAAGTGCATAAAGGAAGCATTCTGCCAGAGCCTTTATTAATATTTGTATGGGGTGGAGGAATGCTGTGCATGATACAGAGCTCTTTTTTATCTGTTAAAAAAAAAGTGGGGGGACAACTGAAATGCATGCCATACGGGGAGAGGTTCCTTGGGTTCCAAGGCTACCTTAAGGAGTCAGATCAAATCAGCCAAGGCCTATCTCTTCTGCAGCATTATTGTACTTAGGGAAATCTTAGCGTGCTTGAACCCTGTGCTTATATCACTGCTTTTTCTCATTATTCTTTCTCACAGAAGGATAGGAAGTGGCCTTGTACTCAGTCAGACTATTGGTCTATCTTAGTGTTTTCAACTGGCAGCAGCTTTCCAGGTTCAAGTTGAGTTGTTCCAGCCCTACCTGGAAGTACTTTCTGCATGGAAAAGGTGTTATCTGCCACTGGACAAGGGTCCCTCATGGTCAGGCTATTGTCAATGGATGTAGTGGTGTTTTTTTTTTTACCCCCAGAAAGTTCTCAGTGAAAACTAGGCTATTTTGGGTTCAGTTAGTTTCATTGGTTGTTGCCATATATTGAAGAAGAGCAGTTAAGGCTGACACACCTTTGGTTTCATTTGGATTCTTTTCAAGAAGTGTTGAGCTATTTATCTGCTTTTCTCTCCTGTATAGGATGTATCATACTTGATTTTGAAGTCTGATGGCAATGTGAAGTCCCAACTTGGAAAATTCCTTAATGAAGAACAAAAAACGGAGCTCATCAGAACAGTTCAGGCCAACTTGGAGGATGTGGTGTTGCTGGCTGCTGGCCAACAAAGAAAGGTGGTAAGTAGAATGTTGATCCCCTTAGTCTTTATTTGGACATCAGCAAAACTAAAAAAATTAAAATCTGGTTCATTTTGACCAGCAAGAAATCACCTCTACTTGCACTGATGAGTTAATTCCTTCTAATAACTGAATATTAATTCATCCTTGAGTACTGTGGTACTCTACTTACGAACGCCCCTACTTATGAATTTTTCGAGATACGACCAGCTCCGGCCCCAAACATTTACCTCTACTTACAACTCATCAGTGCAAGTAGAGGTGATTTCTTGCTGGTCAAAATGAACCAGATTTTAATTTTTTTAGTTTTGCTGATGTCTAATTCATCCTTGAGTACTGTGGTACTCTACTTACGAACGCCCCTACTTATGAATTTTTCGAGATACGACCAGCTCCGGCCCCAAAAATTTACCTCTACTTACGAACTCGCCTTGACTTACGAACCGGATCCACGGCCATTTTCCACCCGTTCCATGTGGTCCACGGCCATTTTCTCCCCGTTCCACGTGGTCCGTGGCCATTTTTCCGCCCATGCCACGTGGTCCACAGCCATTTCCCGCCCGTTGCATGTGGTCCGTGGCCATTTTCCGCCCATTCCACGTGGTCCGTGGCCATTTTTCCGCCCTGCCGCGTGGTCCGTGGCCATTTCCCACCCGTTCCACGTAGTCCACGGCCATTTTTCCGCCCAACACGTGGTCCGCGGCCATTTTTCCACCCTGCCGCGTGGTCCGTGGCCGTTTTTCCGCCCCTGACGCATGGTCCGCGGACGCCGGAACGGATTAACGGTAAATACATTGAACCTTATGGGAAAATTTACCTCAACTTGTGACCAATTCGACTTGCGATCAGAGTCACAGAACGGATTAAGTTCGTAAGTAGAGGTACCACTGTAATTGAGTAATCCTTCTAGTAATTTATAATGCCTAATTATCACTGCATTTTCAATCAGGATTTTTCAAAAAGCATTAAGAACTGGTCCTGACCACTACAAGTTGATAATAATGCACTGCTTAGAGCTAGAAGTGCAGTGTTGGATTTTTCTTTGAGCCCTTGGCACCTTGTCCACCTTTTCCTCCCCTCTATTCTCTCATTTGTTTTCAGTGCTCTGCATTAGGAAAGCTACGCTTGAAGAGTGCTGAACTTTTGGAAGCAAAAGGTCTGTCACTTCGCGACCCTTCTGCCTTTCACTTCCTGTGGGTGGTAGAATTCCCACTTTTCCTCCCAAAAGAAGAAAATCCTGAAGAATTAGAAGCTGCTCATCATCCTTTCACTGCTCCCCATCCCTTGGACGAGCATCTCCTTTACTCAGATCCCAGACAGGTGAATCTCTTGGCAGGTGGCTTTGTTTTTTAATATACAAAGCAGGACACTTCAGGCAAAGAATTGGATAAGGTGAGAAGAGGGAAGAGAGAGTGGCTTTCGAGAGTTAGTTTGGCGAATGTATGTATATATTGCTCCTGGGCAAGTTATCATGCTGTCAGGATTTTACATAATTACCAATTTAATCTTAGGACAAGAAGTCTACCTTATCTGAAGATGTAACTACGAAGTCAGAGCTGCAGAAAAATTTGTCTGGCAGCATAGAATTACACACATTATGGGCTTTTTGTCCTCTAATTATCTATTTCTGTCAACTTCAGATGTGTAGCTCCCATTCAATGCAAAAGCACCATTGGGTGGGATATGCTATTTCACAAGGATTTTGGCAGATACAAACGTTACATTGTGTCCTCTTTTTCTTTGCTCACCAGGTTCGAGGTCAGCACTATGATCTGGTATTGAATGGTAGTGAGATTGGAGGTGGCTCTATTCGAATCCACAATGCAAAGCAGCAGCGTTTCATACTTGAGACAGTTTTGAAGGTAATTATTTATTATTAGATTTATATCCTGCCTGTATTTTGTATAACACAAGACAGTGTACATAATGGTCCTACCTCCTATTTTCTCCACAACAATCCTGTAGGCTGAGAGAAAGTGACTGCCCCAAAGTGACACCCAGCTGGCTTTCATGCCTAAGGGAGGGCTAGAACTCACAGTTTCTTGTTCAGCACCTTGAGTGTTACACCAAACTGACAAAATAAATTCTGTATTCTGTTATCAGTTTGGTATTTAACATTAACTTTTCATTTATTTGACATTGTCTACTTCAGCAGATGGGAGAGCATAGTGCTTAATTTGTGCAATATAAAGGTTACAGAATGTTTATAGACAGAGTGGCATTTAAAATAGGCTGGTAAGTACACATATAACACTTGTGTGGTAAATAGTCCTGATGGCTATTTTACCAGCAAGGATGATAGGAGTGTCTAGAATCATAGGAAGGAGCCCTTTAGGCCATGGAGTCCAACCCCTGTTCAGTGCAGGAATCCAAATGAAAGCACTTAACAGTTTGCCCTTGAGCCTCTGCTTGAACACATCCAGTGAAGAAGAGCCCACCGTTTTGCTCTCAACATAACTAGGTATGCATAAAACACTTTATTCTCCTATGTAGGCATTTGAGGTTTCCATGTTTTCAGGTGGCTGCATAAATTTGATCTTATTTTGTTAGGAACAAGAGATTTGAATTTAGGTTTAAGTAGTTTAACTAGTTTCTAGACTACTCTAATTATTAACACCTCACTTTTGTTCTGAGGGAACAAAAGAGAATCTAAAGGAATAATTTGCATTAATCTGCACTACAAAAGATGAAGGATGGAAACCTGGATTTCAATTTTTAAGAATGGAGTTTGAGAAATTGGGGTTAAAAATTAAGACAAAATGAAGACCTAGTATAGCTGCCTCAGTCTTCATGCCTTCAAGGTGTGTTGACCAGACTGGCTATGCAATTATTTATCAACATTATTTACTGCTGCTCAAAATAACTGATTACTTAATTGTAAGTGGAGTTCTCCGAGTGGTCATCTGTGAATTCACACACATGAATTACACTCCTGTGCAGAGTCTGTTTGGAATCTTTCACAGCTTATAGAGTTCTTAGTGGAAATGTTATCCTTTGTGATGAGGAGCGCCTCCTGCTGAACATCCTTAGCAGAAACAAGACAACATGTTGAGGTCACCCAATACCAAGTTAGTTAAAAGGGCAGGTTGTGTGAATTCACAGCTGGCTCAAAGAATTCCAACTACAGTTAAGTAATCAGGTATTCATTGTGGTTTTCCCTCTGTGTTCCACACAAATGGGTCAATAGCTAGCTTATTACTTGAAAGAGTAATGGTGACTGTTGAAAGCACTGCTGTTTCAAAGTTTGCATCTCTGAGATTGGAGAGATCCAGGCGATAGCGTTGAATGAAAGTAGAAAGCTGCCCATCATAGTTCTGGTAGAGGGATCCTACAGAGGAAAGCTGAAGCTGGAGATACTGTTGTCACTATTGTAGAATGAGCATGAATCAGGGGTTGGGGCAGAGGGGAGACATTGTCATTTGGCCAGTTTATAACAAAGCTTGATGGTTACCATCATCCATCTGGTCAGTCACTGAAAAGAGATATCCAAACCTTTAGGGACCAAAACACTGGTCTCCTTGCAAACATACTTTTTGGTTAAGATAGAAGGCAAGCAATTGTGAAAATGTAGAAATGTCTCCATTGGTGTCAAGGTTTAGGAAAGGTTTAGGAAAAAAGTAGGCAATATAATTTGGGAAAAAAAATAGAAATCTAGACTACTCTACACATTTAGAATACCAAGCCATGCTGTTTCTCATGATGAATCTAATAATGAAGAGGATTGAAGATTCTTCTTATCTCTTCATAAAGAAGATTCTTTATGAAATTTGCCCAAGAAGAATTTTCATCTAACTAACAGCATAAGAAGCTGTTATAGAGCAGTTCTGAGAAGTTATGGGAACTGTTGCCACCTACATTGCAGACTTACTATCTTAATTTCAGCTCCATATAAATTAGTAGAAGGCATTTTTGAAGATTAAAAATATGCATAAAGAATAATATGCCTTGTTGAAGGAAAAAAACACGTTTGGTGGAAAGGTTAATCTTTCATTGCTAAATAATTTTTCAAGATGTCAACAATACATAGTTAAAGATAGTCTAATAAACCGTCAAAGGAGTTTTGAAATTCAGAATAAAAGTGCTTCATTTAAAGATACCTAGACAGATTTAGAAAGCCAGTTTGGTATAGTGATTAGAAACACCAGCCTAGAAACTGGGAGACCCTGAGTTCTAGTCCTTCCTTAGGCACAAAGCCAGCTGGGTGACCTTGGGCCAGTACCTCTCTCTCAGCCCTGGGAAGAAAACAAAGGCAAACCACTTCCAAAAATGTTGCCAAGAAAATTACAGGGACTCATCCAGGCAGTTGCCAGCAGTCAAGACTGACTTGAAGGTCCAGATACAAATTTAGTTGTCAGAAGATAAGAGGACTGATCTTTCTATAAGATTGGTAACTGTCTAAATAACAGGGGAGTAGAGAATAGTTCTAATTAAGCTTTTGTAGAGCCATGAAGATCTGACTCTTCTCCAGGATGATTATTGAGCCCATTTTATTAGGAAAAGGAGTGTATGTTATTTCCAGCTTTGGCTCTGTGTGTACAGTTGTGGTTTTTTATATTGGTTCTATACTTGTACACCACCCAGAGTCAAAAATTGTAAGTTGGATAGCCTTATATATTCTACAAATAATAAATAAATACATATTTCTCACAATTTAAGCAGTGGGGTTCTCCAAGGAGATATATGTTGGGACTGTTGCCTTATAATTTCTTCAGAGATAATCTGGAGTTGGTCCTGGGCATTGAAGCATCCAAGTTTCCTAATGACACTCAATATTTTAAAGGATTATTAAAAGAAAAATGGTTGTAAAGAACCTCCAATTAACACAGGTGATTTGGTATTGGAGTGGAAAACTCAGTGGCAGTGTTGCTTCCCTGTTCAACTGCTGTGAAAAAGTTGAAGCTTGTGTTTCAGGTGTATTGGAATGGAACTGAAAATAAACTTTCTGCTCTCCTACTGCCTTTATACAGTTTCATAATGTGACTATGCTTAGAATATAATGAATGGGTCTGTGTACTGTAACTCAAAAAAAAAGAGAGAGAACGAGAGAGCATGTTACACTTTAGAACAGCAACCAGAAGAACTAGTGACATACTTTGAGAATTCTTGACTTAGGAAAAGAATGAGTAAGGGGGTGATATGATAAACAAACAGAAAATTATGTATGGTATGAAGAAAATGAATAGTAGTTTCTCCCTCTCTTATAATGTTATTATTTTATTGGGAAAAAAATCCTCAAGTACTGAAGTACAGCTCTGTGTGTGCCCAACTAGCACTTGTAGCTTTCATTATAGGCAGGGTGGTCAATGAATGCAGTAGCAAGGGTTGCCCCTGCAGGCATAGAACTCTCTAGGCTGTCCCCAACCCAAGTCATTCATTTCACAGACATTTCTCTCTCTCTGTCACTGTGCATATGTTATACACATGCACAGGCACACATGTTTGAGAGAGAGAAGAATACTATTTAGTTGCATGAGGTCCCAATAGAAGCCACAATGGAACAGCAGCATGGAGGGAGGAGCTGCTGTCACTCCTCAGTCACCCATCACTCTTTCTCTCCTCAGTTGGAGAAGGGAAACTTTGAAATGACTAAGGAGGTGAGGGGAAACTCTTGCAGAACTCAGCCCCAGTGCTGCAGCAATGGACTAATGGTTTTGTGGCCCTCCTTTCTTTCTCTTAGCTGCCACTGTTGAGAGAACTCACTACCTAAGGTTGCAGGTTCCCATCTGAGATGCCTCCCTTGAGGCCCAGGAAATTCTTATGACACTATTCATTTAGGCTCTACTGTACAGTTGCATCTTCTAGAAATTAGTTATCAATGAACATACCAAATATCTATGAATAAAAGATCTGTAGGGGTAAACGTTTTTTCTCAAAATGTTTCACCTTGACAGTGAAACTTCTACTTTGAACCCAAAATAGAGCTTCCTGGAGTGCTTTCAGAGGTATAGTTCTGACTTGAGAACACCCTATTTTAAGCTCAAAACACATTCAAAATGCTCAAAGGGGCCCATTTCATGAAATATTATGCTCAAAATATTTTGAAACAAGGCATTTTGTGCATCCCTACTAAGTTGCTACATCTCCAACCATTAGTTCTAATTTATATGGCAGCTTGAGGAGATAAGTATCATTTATACTTGTTTCATTCCTGCCTTTCTTAGTTGGGCTAAAATAGTCTTGTGTATTTAATCTGAAATTGGCAAATATTGCATTACCTCTTAAATATATTTTAAAGCCAGTTATTTTCCATTAACTCCATGATTACTGAATGTGATAGCTATTTATTTCTGGTAACAGAAGGAATATGCAGGGTTTCTCTTAATTTTGTTTTGTATTACCTTTTACTATTGTTAAATTTTGTAATAAAAATTATTTTTAAAAAAGAAGGAATATGCAGGGAAACGTGAGAGGAAAGCTATTGTTGCACTCTGGTCCTGCCTGTGGATTTCCCTAAGTATCTGTTTGGCCACTCTGTGAAGAAAAAGCTGGTTTGATCTTCTTACATTCTTAGGAGGACACTGAGCTGCTTTTTCACCTCCTTGAAGCTCTGGAGTGTGGTGCACCCCCACATGGAGGAATTGCGCTAGGTCAGTATCTTTTTTTTTAAACTTGGAATTTGCCACATACAGGAAGTTGGAGTAGATTACTTTTATGGTTCCTTCCAACTCTGTGATTCTGTGAATAAATAGTAAGTACACTGACATCAGTGTGAGATAGAAGGATAACAAAAGTCAGTTTTTTTCCTGAATGAAATTATTCCTGCATAGAAAGCCACATGTTTTTCTAAGTAAAAATCTGTTTCAGGATTTTTGTTTCTGTTTTAGTCTGAAGTGTTCCTTCTTTCTATATTTATGAAGCCAGAAAGAAACAGAGACATGGATAACAATCTGGTTTGGCAACAGATAAGTTTTAAGGCTCATATAGGATAATTTATTCTTTTCATTAAATGTAATCAGGATAATAGATGTAGGAAATTGCAGGAAATCATATTTGATTCAGATAACTGGAGTTACAAAGAAAAACCTGTTTTTGCCCGCTGTTAAAAAAAAAAAAATACAAAGCCCATGCCTTTAATCTTTCAAGCTCAAAAAGCAACCTGTGCTCTCCCAATTAAAACACTTCCCAATTGCAGTTTCACACTAATTAAGTGCATACTAGGAAAACTGGTAGCTTAGTGAAAGACTCTAAACCCCAGAGCAAAGTTAATCTTACCTATGGGGGTGCAAATATTTCCTGATTTCAAAGGATTTGTTGAAGGAGTTATCGTTGGTAGGGTTTTCATACAATATAAATCTCCAAAAAGAATGGAGGTATTTTGGATAGCTAAGCCAGGAAACACATTTGCTTTGCAAGTCCTTTGGCTAATTAAACAGAAATACAGGTAGTCCCCAGTTTAAGATCTGAGTTCTGTTCCCAAGGTCTGCCCTTAAGTCAAATTAGTATGTAAGCCAGAACAGCATTATTGAATAATACGGTATAAGTAGTATTGTGTAATGAACTTGAACCATTGTGTGTTTAACTCAAATCATTGTGTTTTACAATAGGCTCCATTCTTAACTATGGGCCATCTGTAACCGAGCATTCTTAACCCTGGGACTACCTGTACTATGTACAGATTCATTTATCAGTCCAATTTATCAGACCTTTACTTTCACGTAATATTTTCAGCCCGCATAGCTAGAAACAAAACAGCAATGGTTTGTAAATTGGTTATTTTTGGAGGGAGAAACAAGTTTTTCTCTCCATCTTGGGAACTTTGTCCCCAGTCATGAAAGAAGGCAACAGTACTGAGTACAATTACATGGGCTTATTGAATCAAAGCTTGAATAGCTATCCCTCTAGTATTTCTCAACTGCAGCACAACTAAAGATTACATTGCTAACCAACAGTTTTCCCAACTGACATAAGCAGAGAGGTTATCTAAATTAATAATCAGGGAGTTATACTTCCTTCATTCCAGAAAAATTCCTAGCATGGAAAAGGTAGCAAGAGAAGTAGCAGGTAAAATGCAGTGAGTAATGTAGCAAGTATATAGAATAAAGAAGCCCTTACATTCTACAAGCATGCTGTTTCACACTTCACAGACTATTTTATAACCTTAAAGTGTTAAGACTTTAACAAACTTGTTCTCATCAATCTTGTGATGGAATATTGTTATAATTTAGGTCCAGCTGTTTTTGGACAGTTCTTGATGGCAGACGTTCATGTCTTGACTCAATACTGTTATCCATCAGTCATATTTTAATCTTTTCTTGGGCTTTGGCACATCATTTTAGTCCACCCTGCAACACTGTTGCATTTCCATGCACCAGTGTGTTTGGATGGACTTCTTGTATTTACTGAATTGAGCACTCATTACATTTGTTACCCATCATGATCACTAACTCATCCCTGAGCAAGCCTGCAAAAAGGTTACATCCCATTCAAACATGGATTCTCCCCAGCCAGCCAGCCAGCCCTTGGTCTCTGTATGCACAAAATAGCTGTCCCAGCCCTTCCCTGAAATGAACCTTGTACTCATTTACACATACAATATATTTTATTCATGGAAACATACTGTTGTGCTTTTTATAACTTCATAGATAGCTGTAGGGTCCTTTTTCCCAAAACCTGTTTATAGTACTATTAATATCTAATGCATTTCTTTTTTAGGGCTTGACAGACTGATTTGTCTTCTAGTTGGAGGTTCAAGTATTCGAGATGTCATTGCTTTCCCTAAATCTTTCAGGGGGAGAGATCTGATGAGCAATGCTCCAGATTATGTTGACCCACAAGAGCTTGAACCATATCATGTGCAGGTTACATGGCCTTTGACAGAGGCCAAAGCAAGGACTAACTGAAAATTATCCATTCTTGGGGAATGTTAGCATATTCAGCAGAAACTCTAAATTTGTCACTAGTGGACAGATTATCTGTACTATTTGTGCAGAAAAGTGAACTGTTGAAAGCATCAAGGGCACTTTTTCATTATACCATACAAATCTTTTCAAAGGCAGAAATGTGTTCCAATGATGTGTGTGACCAAGATGGAATCTGAGGTTTTGTCTGTGCAAAGAATATGTTCAAAAGACATCATGCCCTGTTACTATTGTCATATAATAATATGGACAATCAGATGCAGCCTTGACATTTTGGGAGTTCTGCTGTGTTGCCTTTATGCATGGAGGATCTTCAACTACATGTAGATGTTGCTGAGGTCATTACTGGGTATCCAGTGCAATTTGGCCATGCTGGGAGGTATTGAGAGCGTTGTACGGATTTTTGATGTGAAATTCTCAGAGGTATCAGTGCTCTAAGTAGTAATTCCTTTGGTTCAGCATGATGTGTGAACAATGTGTGAATTCTGTATCAAGCAATTGAAAAAAATGTATGATGTGTCTCAGGAAATTGTTCAAAAACTACAAAATTAACATAACCAAATTATGAAAGTTTGCTTTAATCCTGCTTGCTGGTATTAGCTTTAGCACACTGCACCACAAAATTTGAGCAAAGTTCTCCGATGAAACAATTTATCTCCCTGTCCAACAGCTTGAGAGTAGTATGTTTAGTTGTGTTAGAAGGTGCACCCTGCTGAAAGAAAAATTAAGGCTAGCCTGCAAGGTTGCATAAATCACCAAACTTTATCCAGTGGCTTAGAGCGACATGCAGACGTAGAGTTGTGTTGGTTTATTTCCAAATTTTGGTCTCTAGAAATACAACCCTCACAAAACTGTATGACTGTTAACTATGTACTGCATACACAGACACTTTAAAAATGTAAGCAAAAATTTCCTGCTTTTAAAATACAAGACAGAATGAGTCAAAAAAGAAACAGAGCTCCAAAATAATTCTGGAACTCCCCCAAAAATGCAATAGGTATAAGAATTAAAATAAAGGTAGAAATACAAGAATTTCAACTTATGTTTATTCCTCTCTAATTTGGCTTTATTTTTAACCTAAATAAACCCCTCTGTTATATCCAGCCATAATGTAGAGGCTGTTGGTGATTTCAGATTCTTAGGTTTGCTTGCGATGCATTTTTCAAAAATTCACGTTTGGGCAGCTGTTACTCATATAGTTTCACTGAACTATCAGTAAACATTTGTACCTTCCACTGGTTTGTCTTACGCCACCTCTTCCTGAGTTGCCAAACAAAGCTGCTGCTTTTCTGTTCTCACAAGGCCCCTAGTCCCTACAGGCCTCACATTGAAAGGACCACTGGTGGGAGGACCTCTGGAAAATGTAGCAGTTGCAACTTTTGAAAATCAAGAGGATTTCACCTCTCTAATAATGTCAGATACACTACCCCACATCAAAATGGTGTATGTATACAATGCACCTTCGGGGGGAAAGGGGCATATGTTGTGTTGTGCTTCCACGAATGGAGTTCTGCATTATTTCCACCATCATCTTTCAGAAAGGGGAGAGGTCTCTATTTTTTACTAAATGTATGTCCTGTGTGGGTATCCCTGTGAGAAATTACTCATTTCTACCTTACTGTACAAAATAAAATAGTTACAACTTATAGAATTGTTTTATTATCCTGATGACATCCAGTTTAGATTCCAAAATATCTTCCAATATATTTGAAATTAATAATACCTGGATAGCTTCTCAGATCTGGAATGGGAAAAAGAAAAAAGTCAAGCTAATATACTCATTTAGGGATACAAGACATTCTAAAATGTGAATGGATCAGATCTTGGATATTCCATCACATATTCAGAGAGAGAGTTCAAGATTAGGGTATCATCATTTCACCATTCTCAAGAAAACAAGCACTTTGATATACAGAGTACATACCTTGAAAGCCAAATGTCAGTTCATTAACTACCTAGGAGATCAAACACATGCATTAATAAATCTAGTAGGAGAAATGAAACTGCCTAGCTAGAGAATATGGGCCAAATCATAATTCATGAGAATAATCTGTTTAACAGTTCTTGTGGGCTACTTTCTGAAAAAAAAATTCTATTTCTAGCTGTTGCACAAAATTGGCTTTTCACCTGCATGTTTCTTCCATGGTTGGTTGAGCTATGGCCACAAGCAAATTTATTACAGCTCCACAAAACTGCAAGTTTCCCTATAGTTATTATTTTACTAAAAACAAGGAGCAATCCTATTGGGAAAGCTTTAATAGGAATTATACAAAACAAAGCCATCAGGCACATACACCTTCAGTAGCCTCCACCATCAATTGAAAATGCGAAGGGGATACAATCAGTTTAATTTCATCCGAAGATCACAATTTTTAAGTTCCTGTGAACTGATCATTACAGAACTTTAATAATGGGTGGAGAAACAAGAATGTGAAAACAAACACCAAACAGTGACAGATGTTCTCCATAACTTGCTTCATCCCTGGCACTATTATCCCCAGAGTCCCTAAGGAAATACAGGGCGTAAAAGGAAAAAAAATTCAACGGTACTACAGTGGTACCTCGGGTTACGAATTTAATCCGTTCCGTGACTCTGGTCGCAACCCGATTTGTTTGCAACCCGAAGCAAATTTTCCCACACGTCAAGGGCGGAAAAACGGCCGCGGACTGCGCGGCAGGGCGGAAAAACGGCCGTGGACCACGTGGCACGGGCAGAAAAACGGCCGCGGACCATGCGGCAGGGCTGAAAAATGGCTGCGGAAAAATGGCCACGGACCATGTGGCACAGGCAGAAAAATGGCCGCGGACCACGTGGCACCGGCGGAAAAATGGCCGCGGACCACGTAGCACGGGCAGAAAAATGGCCGCGGACGTGTCATGGAGAAAAATGGCCGCGGATCCGGTTTGTACCCCGAGGCGGAGTTCGCAAACCAAGGTAAATTTTTGCGGCCGGAGCTGGTCGCAACCCGAAGAGTTCGTAAGCAGAGGCGTTCGTAACCCGAGGTACCACTATATTAAGAACGTTTACATACAACTCTGAAGTGACTAGTACACTCTGATATTTTGTAATATTTTCAGAGCCAAGTTTTGTGAAACATCCTATTGCAAGATGTAAAGCTGTTTCAATTGAGAAAGACTGGCTTCCAAACTCAAAGCATTCTAGGTTCCAGTTCAAAATTCTTCTAGAAAGCTTGAAAATCCTATTTTGTGCTTGGGATAGGCCATTCTGCAAACTTTCATTTGAAGCCAAAATATTTTGCATGCCCCCACAACTCAATTTTATTAAGATTTATCACTTGTGGCAGAACAAATGAATGGTATCCAGCTACCTTGAGCTACATAGGCAGATACATCAGACAGGAACGAAAGACCACTATTGCATCTGCTGTAATTCTTAAAAATTTTCTGCCTCCAAGTGCCAATAGACATCTCTATTACTAATAATTTAAAATACTGACAACATTCATGTATCATGCTATCATGCAAATGTGGTTTGATGTTTTGCCAGCCTAGCAAACTGGTTATTCAGTAAGCCAGGATCAAACATAGTGATGTCTGAACTCAGCCACTTCATGTTTTAAGTTTCAAACTGGAACATGTAACACTAAGAACCAAGCAAGTTCTTCTGCTGGTTTTATATATAACAATGTAATGCTACATAATAATTATGTACTACACATTATCATTTTGTACTGTCTCAGTAAAAATGTATCTTCACTACTTTTCAGAGAGATTCCCATTGTCTTTTTCACAATTTCATCATTAACAGTACAAAGTAAACACATTTTTAACATAAAGCTCAAAAGGATCAGGAGTTTCTACAGGCTGCCTCATTTGGAATTTTAATGTCCCTTTAAAGTATGAGCTTACCAATATATTGTGAAGTCCAAACTATTATTCTATCCAGCTGCCACTGTGTTTAAAAAAAAAATCAATGGTCAATCAGTTACTTCACATAAACTAACCTGAAATAAAAATATTGTAAGCCATCAGTTTGTGTAATTGTGTAAAAGAGATTCTATTCCAGTAGCAATTCATTTGATTCCAGGTTTTTTGGGTAAGTTATGGTACCATGACCTGTCTATCACTAATTATCAGTGACATAAAGCCTCAGTGTTTTAAGTTCTCAGAAAACTTTCTGTCCACTACTCTTAAAACATCATTGGCTTTTCCCAACAAAATCATCAAGCTACTTTTGGATGGTATGTTTTATTCAGAGGACAGGGAACACAATGGGTGGGCAAAACTAGTTATTACCCTCTTCTGATGCAAGTTGCAAGTTTTGGAAGCATTAACTTTTTATGCATTAAGCATTAAGATTAGTTGGCGGGGATGGGGTGTGTGTGCATTCCAACACTTTTAAAAGATTATTTTGAAGAACTGAGTAGTTTCAACGGGGGAGTTAATGGATACCATCATCCAAGCAGACAGATCAGTGAATCTCATCTTGAGATCAGACCAAAGTTCTTCCTCTTCCTTCAAAGTGAAGTACTCCGGCTAAGCAGAAGATTCAAAGAAAGGATTCCTCACCCAGTCATGTATTTGTGTTGAAAGGGAGGGAAAGTACTGATCAATTTTGTTCTGCAGTACTTCCAGGTGGT